CCCTCCTCACCTCCTCCTCGGAAAGTATGGCGCTAACGGTATCATCGTCAAGGACCCTATAGGCCCAGACTGGAAGGGGGCTGTGACGGTAATCGTCAAGTTAGCGCTAATTATTTAACCTTATTGTTGTCCGTGAGGGCAGCACCTACCGGGGGGACAAAAATATGTAACGAAGGAATTCGGTACGCGAGCAGACGGAACGCGCGCGAACGAATTCGAACCAGTGAAGCATAGACCTTCGTGCCATCCATCCGCTCACGCTAACGTTCGTCCATTCACGTGCCCTTGACACCCACACGCTTCGAAATCTGCTGAGACTAGCAATCCAGTGATTGTCGCCGCCGAGGAGCTGCCAAGCTGCGAGCCAGGCCCGATCGAGAGATCCTAGGAGAGTGTGTGAGGTTTCGCCATCGAGGGCGAAACCAGTGCGTGCACGCGTTCGCGACTCGCAAATATTAAGACAATAAGCGACTGTGCCGTGCTGTGCGAGTTACAGTGTTTTTCTCCGGTCGTCTGAAAGTATAAGGTAAGCTGGCCAGCTTAATTTCGCGATCGCGATCTTATGAATGATAATTTAATGCTAATATTCGATGCGTGCATGTGAGGCTCTAATATCAGAGAGCAGCGAGCGTACCGGCAAAGCATGTTGCCGATGAGCGAGCGTGCGTGTAAACAAACTCGCGGGCCGACCTTTTGTGAGTTAGAAAGATAATAAAACGTCCGATTTATAATACTAACAAGTGTTTTCGTTGATTCTCTCCTCACGTAGCTTCCACTCAGTTCAGTTAGGTTATAAAGAATAATTGGTTGACCGGCGTATGTTTCCTCGTGCTCTCCCGTGTTGATAGTGAGCAGCAACGATTCACGCGTGTCCCTTTAGTGTAATCACGCGATTTATCGATTAAACGGTTATACCCCGTTACAGTGTATTCGCTTTAACGTCAGCTGACTTAACTTGGTTGTCTTCGATCAAGCGGAGTTGAACTCACCTTAAGTCACGTGCCCTGTGACACACGATGAGTTTTAAGTGTAATCGACTTTGCTCCTAATCCACTTAATCCCCTAGCTATGATCAGATTAAAACTTAAGCCTATTTCAATTGTTTAATCTATTAGGAAAAATTATATGACGAAATCGGCGAATAATTTTAATAGATTTTATTAATAAAAATCTCTACAGTCTTTATCGGGCCGAAAGACTGACGCACGCGAACAGGATTTACAATTAAATAACTTTCGGTGAGAAAGAGAGAGAGAGAGAGAAGATACGAAAATTGGCGCGATCTAACGCTCGGCGCGAATACAAAATTATCAACGCTAACGCGGCTGAACAAAATAATAAATATATTTAGACACGCGATAATAAAGGGAGGTGCACCTACCCTGCGGTGCAATTACGGTGATCAGCCGTAATTGTTGATGTCAGCAAAATATCAACTGCCTCTGTCCTTTGAATAATTGACTGCGCTGCCTCACTCTGCTTATCAGCTGCAAACTGCTTCCGAAGCCCCGTACTTGCTGTAATATCGCTATCACACTCACGCACGAAATTGTCCCAGGAAAACTATTACTCGGCGAGAAAAAACAGTGCAAATAACTTCGGCGATATCTACTTGTCACAACAGCTGAGACGTAACTGCTAATTTGAAAGATCGCGCGCTCCCTCTCTCTCTCAATACTTAGAACTAACGCGCGAAAATCAGAATCGCGAACGGTTCGATTAATTGAATCGACTACCGTTGCAACACATTGATTAACGTGATGGCCAGATAAATAAAACACAAAAATAACTTACAATTCTTTTCTCATTAAAAATTAATAAAAATTGTAATAATTCTGTATGTGGTTACAATTTAAAAAGTAGTTGAGAATTATTATAATGCATATATAATTATCCAAAGCCAAAAAAAAAAAATTCTTTCGCACGAAAGTTATAAAAATTTATATATTTTTTTCATTGAAACCATGTTTTTTTTTATAAATATAAACATAGGATGCATAAGAAAGCTTCCTTTACTTCGCGTTTGTCTGCATTTTCAAACGGTGTCTTTGATTTAAAAGATTTAAAATTTGATTACACCAGCAGATTTCCACACCACCACAGAGGTACTGCCGTTCAGTGTGCCAGGAACACAGGTGTTATTTGTAATGAGCCGTAAAATAAAAATATTGTGCCATTCATAATAGTGTTTCCTGATAATTTGCAATTTTAATTTGCCTTCGTAACACACTTGGCGCGTTGTGTTTTTTTGATTTTTTACTTCAAGTCTTCACAAATAAAAAATAAAAATTATTTTAGGATATTTAGGAAATTATTTTAGTGTAGGAACGACTTGATTGTCAAACATAATTTAAACTGCAAACGTAGAAATAATAAGTATCGACTCATTTCTGTGGTTGAATAATTCACTTGAAAAGTTTTGCATTCTGGGAAGGACGTCCTGTTTGAAAGTACTCAAAAGCTGTTACGCGTAAGAAAAAAATCTATTCTTTCAAATTTGCTTATGGCAGAATAGCTATTAGATTTCAAATTTTTAAACGACATACGAAAGTACTGGACTACTATAACTACTAAAAAAGGTTACTTTTTGTAAAATCCGCTATTATTAAATACAAAAAGAAATATATTCTGAGTAAATAACTAATAATAATTGTAAACAGCTGCTTTAAACTTTTATAATAGTAGTCATCACTTTTTGAAACTTAAACTGAAACCATTTTTTTATCATTTTCGCTTGGATACTTCTTATATGCATACATATAAAAAAATAAACCTGTTCTACATACTGCGATAATCCTATTAGCACAACAGAAACTGAATTACACAAAACTCAACACTGGTTTTGAAGAATTATTTTTAAATTAAATCTTTCTTATAGATTTCATCGATTGCCGTGGTGGCATACATGAGAAGCAGAACGATACTGATCTTTGATAGGAATCGTTCTGAAGCTCAAATCATCGATTGCGAATGAAGAAATCCAAATATTAAGCATATATAAACCATTGGTGACAGTGTATATGTGAATAAAGAGGTAAATATAGTATGGCTTTCAAATGTATAAACATTTGGTGACAGTTCATTTGGATATATCACTGCGCAGTTTACGTTATTTTAAAGTGGATGGAACCGATGGAAAAAGAAGTAACCTTCATCGGTTAAAAATTTTCATTTCCAAATTATTTTGTCTTTTATGAAGTTGAATCACCATTATTTGGAATCTCGGTATTAATTAGGTTTAAATAAAATAATAACACAACACAGAAATACATTTTTTATGTAATTACACGGAAAGTATGCATTTTCATAAATCAACATTTTCTGGCGCTCTAAATTATTTAATATAATTCTCACGTCTTTCAATATAATTAGAATATCATCGCACAATATTTACGACATTGAAAGAACTAAAACTTTTATGAGCGACATGAAAAGCCTCTGTCCAATTGTGTGCAACTTGGCTTACTATAATCAATCACTCTCTTGCGAAGAAATAGATATTCATCGCATGTTGTATCATAAATTTGATTATTATACACTGTTAACATGAAGATGGCATGAGCTGCGCCATTTCCAACCGAGCGCCACCCCCCTTCCTTCCTTACTTCCCCTTACTTCAAGCTCGCCGCTCTCTCCGCCAGCCGCACTACTTCTCGAAGTATCGACCTACCGAGCACACGTTCTTTTGCACCAGCAACTTTTCAATAACGAATAGTTTCCTCGATTCAATAAAGCTTTCTTCTTTCTTTCACAAAAACCGTTTTGCATTATTGGCGTTACCACTATACCTCTGACATACACTTACCAAGTATTTAAGCCGAAAATATAATGAACTTTGTCTTTTATCCAAAAATAGCAATATACGATAATTAAGTAAACATTGCAAATATAATTTTGTAGTAATTTTCAGGTACAAGTCAGCTAAATATGGAAATACAACTTTTTAAGTAATTTTTTTTCAAAAATTAAAACATATAAAATATAAGTATACCATCAAAGGGATGTACAGAAAAAAAATGCTTAAAAAAAGCATGTTCAATGGGATTCGAACCCGCTACCACGAAAATAAAAAGTGATGGTATGCTTTAGCTACCTCGGCTATCGTCACATGTTATTTGAATGATATGGATGTTACATATGTTCATTAAGAAGAGGTGGGGCTTACGTTAAACTAATTCGTTTAAATACTTGTGATGAGAGTATTTTTCAGATTAGTTGCAAAGAGAGAATCCTAAAAGATCATAATAAGACTTGTTTCCGACCACCGCTCCATCGCCGGCCACCAAATATCGAAAATGAATTCAAGCGCGCGTACATGCACGTTTCCCCTCTTCGGCTGCTATAGGCCGACGATTGCCGAGTGTCGTCGACTGTCTGCGCACGTTTGGAGGGGCGGCGGAGAAAAGCGAAACTATACCGCGCCTTCCCCAGCCTTCCCCTTCTACCTTATTCACGTAAAGTTTCTTATTTATTTTTTATCCCAACATTTTCCACTCATCGATGCCGGGTTAAACATAGTTTCTGATGTAAAATTTCACGCTCTTTCGATTAGTGCATGTTATTTTGTCGTACGTTCAGCCGTTCGCGAGATACAGGCGAAAACAAGTTTCAAACGTGATTTTCTCATAGAACCCCTGGACCTAGAACTCTGCAAATTTCAGAATCGTCTTTTTCGACCTCAATTTACCATATACCAAAAATGCATCCACTTCCGTGACAAAAACATTTCAGGTCTATTTTTACTGGACTATGAATCCTTTTTCCGAATTCGTTCCAATAAGTGAATGGTGGCGCTATCTGATAGATTTTCTTGAACTAACTAAGCTTATACACATACACGGATCTGGTTTTCTATATGTCTATATTCGTTTTCTCTAACTATAAGAGAATTATTGTTAATTTATAATAGTTTTATAATAGATTATAATAGATGATTCCTTATGTTGATTAAAAAATGTATACATATATATGTATATATAGCTCAAACGAGTAAATTACAGCTTTTGAATTAATTTTATCTGGGATTCCGCAATCAAGATTTTATTCATTTTCTAAAAGAAAAAAAAACAAGAAAATCTAAAATAAAATTATGTAGAATTGGAATTAAAAAATTTTACAAATTAATATCCTTTTTGCATAGTTGCGTAGTACACGGAGTCGTGTTACTTGCGTACGATCCATATGGTAGCATTAATAATTAAACACAATCTTTTATATTAACTATTTGATGTACAATCGGCTGGTATGAATAGTTTTATAACAGTTCACGATTTTGCATGATTGAATATTACCTGTGAGATGTTCTAATATTGATTATAAGGTATTCAAGTTCTTATTTGAAAGTCAAATTTGACAATATCTTACCATTGGAAAAATCATTCTTTGAAATAAAAAAAATATATTGAAACTCATAATAGCTAAAGAAAATCTATAGACATTTTGTGAGACTTGCAAGTTTATTTTTATTAATATTTTCATGCATGATTATTCAAGATGGCAAGTTGGCAATACCTTCTACAATCAATTCTTCAAGAGCATAAAAATTTTGTTTTAAAAAACAAAGACAGGAATGAATTTGAATTAATGAAATTTTTTGTTGACAATGATGGCATAAGGTACGTAAAAAGTTATGAATATTATATATCATTCACAATAAGCTGATAATAATTTAGAATCATTTTTCTACATATTTATTTTATTGGAAGTCTAGTGAATGGTTATATTTTGAAATAAATTATTTTATCAGTGTATTTTATTAATTTATTTTCATTTCAGAAAACAAATAAATTTGTGGTTTTATAATGTACAACATAGTGGTATTTCATATGAAAAGAATATGCAAAAAAGTGAACAATTTAGAAAACTAGGTAATAGAGAATTTAAAAATAAAACATATTTAGACAGCATAAAATATTATACATTGAGCTTACAATATGCTTCATGGGAAAGTCAAGAGTTTGCATTAGCCTTAGCTAACAGATCTGCTGCCCTATTTCATCTAGAAAAATACCAGGTTACTAAATATCATTAATATACGTAAGTAGAATTTCTCTTAAGATAAGTTATTTTTATTTGCATTTTTAAAGGCTTGTACTGAAGATATAAAATTAGCTATGGAATATAACTACCCACAGAATATGTTATATAAATTATATTTGCGTGCAGCTCGTTGTTATTTAAAGCTACAGAAGAAAAATCTTGTGGAAGAATTTTTATGTAAGCTAAATGAGTGTCTTGAAACTGATTATATTATTTCCAGCAATAAAAGAGGTAATGTATTCAAACCAGTTTTATACAAATAGATCTACATATATTTCCACTTATATTAATATGCAAATATGAATGTAATTCCTAATGGTTATAAATATTAATGTAATAAAAGGTTTCATTTTAATTATTGCAAATATTTAAATGATATCAATATGTAAGTTCATCAATGACACAATTTTATATTAATAAGTTAGTGAAGAGTTAATATAATCTTATATCAAAATAATATAATCTAATAATTCATTACCTCCAGTTTATTAGTTATAAAGGAATTTTTCCTCTGCAAACAATACAAAATTTTATTATACTTAAATAAGTATTGTAAATAACTATATTTACATATGATGAATGAAATAATTGAGTGTGCTTTTATAAATTTGGCTGCACATCATAAATTGTTCAATATTATTTTTCTAAAAATTGATACAACACTTTTTGTTACTATGTTTCAGTAACAGTGTAAAAAATATAAATGTGTTTAAATACATATTTAACATCATTATTGAAGAGATCAAGTTTCTATCCATGACATCATGGATAAAATCAGCATTTTACATCTTTACCAATTTTTTGTGAAAGCGAAAAAAACATAGTGTATAATTATAATTGAACTTCACCATTCCGAACTCACAACGGATTGCAGTTTAATTAAATTTGTTCAAGTTTCAAAGCTAAGAAATAAAAATTTCACTTTTACAGATAAATGAAAATAAAATCTCATTTGCCAAGTTATCTTTCTAAAACTATTTTATTATATTTGTATCTAATGATTTTTCATTCTGTATGTTATGAAAAATATTATAGTTTATTGAATAATATTGAATAACAAGTTGTTATCTATTAAAAAATAGTGAATTATATTCAAGTTAATTGCATTAAATGTTATTGATTTCTATATGCTATGGAAAATATTAAAATATGTTAAAATCATTGGATAAAAAGTGATTGAATGATATGTATTCTTTAAAATTATATTTGAAATAGTTGAAGATTATTAAAATCAATGATATATTTTCGCATTAAATAGAATTGTTATTGAAATTTATTGGAAATGATTCAAATTCAGTTCTCATGTTTATTGAAATGGTTTAGATTTATTGAAATTCAATAAATTTGAATAATTTCCAATATTACATTTTTAGCAGGGATGTTACCGAAACGTTTTTAGATTGCTAGTTAGAATATATTCATTTTGCGAGGCAAGCTTTGCGCAATATTTCTACAAAATTTTTATAACGAGTTTTTAAAACATTGATCTAATCTTGCTACAATCTTTTTTCCAATGTTAGAAAAGTCCTTTTCTTACAGAGACTAATATTTACGCAATATTTTAGCAGTTAGGTTTAAAATGTTGACTCAATGTCGTGTCAACGTTGCAGAAACAAATGAATTATAGAACAGTAGTAAAACTTTTCATGAGCAAAATTGATTTGTTTTAGAAGAATGACAATGATATTAAGTTAATATGTTTGGTTGTAAATATGTTGCAGAAATGTTGCATCTATGTTGGTCTCTAGTAAAAAATGTCGCGCCTCCCTTTCACCCGCGTAAAAATATAAATTATTGGCAGTGTATTGTGAAAGTATTTGGCAAAAGTATTGTGGATATATTGGGGATATATTGGCAATTGCTAACACTTGCCTTGGATATGATTAGCAATATTTTGCCAAGAACTGCAAAATTAACGTGATATTTTATTGCTTTTGTAATCCATTCATATACAGGGTGTCCTAAAAGTTCTAAAAAAATCGGATAGTTTTTGTGCGCCACTGCTATGCCCTGCGATGTAAGGGCCCTATTTCAGTAGAGGAAGCCGACGCTGATTCCCACGAGAGCGAATGTATGTCATTGACGGGTGGAGAAAGGGAAGATAGGCATAGAACAAACAATAATTCGGCAATTACGATATTACAAAAGGTGACCTCTTTATTGCGCCACTGTACAATAAAAGGAAATTATATCGTTTCGAAGTAGATGAGAGTATTTGCTTAATCCACGAAATTACGATAACACAGCGAAAGATAGGAGCTCAACAAGCGAAGTCGTGATAACAAGTGAAATGTGGGAGCGAGTTCGCTCAACACAACCGGCACGGATAACACGTAAGATTACGATATTGTACTGGACGAGAGCTGGTGCGAGAGAGAAATTATTAAGTCTCGGAGAGCGACCCACTAAGTGACTGGATTCGCCGGCGAAATCGTAGTCCTGTTGTTGGGGTACCGCCGGGATGATAACGAGGGGCCTGCTGAGCGCAGACATCCGCCCACGACTCGATGGCCGAAGAATGACTGCTAAATAGTTAGGCCGCTGAGTAGCCAAGCTTTCACCATTGGTAGGACTTCCTGACTCCTCAGCGTTGGCGAGACTCCCGTCCACATGGAGAAGCGGTACGCAACTTGCTGTTTGGGTCTTTGCTTTCTCTCTCGAACTTCCGTGGTCAACAGCTTTTTCCTTCGTGCTCGTTCTTTCGCATTCACTTGGGTTTTGTTTTCCTCCCCTCAAACCGTGGTACGTGACGCGCTCTTCGCACTTTCTCTCGCACTTCTTCTTGGTGGCCGCCGGTCGGCCTCCTCTCTCTCCAGACTCTGCAAAGACACAAACGTGTGAACACTATGTCACTATTGCCACGCTCGATCGCCGCATTCGTGTGAGAGTACCGTACACAGGGCCAACGAATATTGCTATCAGTCCTGTGTGTGTGTGTATGTGTACGTGTCTGTTCCGGACAAGTAACTGTTTCGGGAATAGACATTCATTATTGCTCGTTATAGTTCGAAGACGTCGGGTTTTCCCAGCACATGCCGAAAATGAGTGCAACGCGTTTACGGGGAGTTTTTGCGCGGTCGATGGAGCGCGCGCGGGTTGTAAAGACAATCCAACTAAAGAGAAATGCGGAGCAGAAAATGATGGTGCAGACAGAGAGCATGTGTGCCACAAGTTTCGGATCGACGACGATGTCACGGCGAGATAGCGCGGTTACAGTTTAAAATTTAGATTTACGGTCGCGTTTGATAAAAAATCCGAGAAAACAGATGTTTTGCTATCCGTGCGCCGCCGCAGGGTACTAAACGGTCAGCGAGCGCCAGGATCGAGCGCCTACAGGTCGGCAGGTGAGGCTCGAACCGTCGAGGTTCACGCGCCGCACCCAAATAGGTGCTGCGGATGTAAACCCTGATACGTCCCACGTGAATACTATATGTTCACGAAAAATGTGTTGTATCGACAGCGAAAATATAAACAGCGAGAAGCGAAACCACTTCATCGCGCGAGATCCCGAGTTTCCTTTCGTTTACCTTGGGCCTTTGCAGCTCCACAAAACAACGCCGGCCGCTGAGAAGTTTCCCACTCTTTCATCAACTTTCGTATGCCCACGTCATGCAGTGGCTAATGCCCTGCCTCGTTGTCGAAGACGGAACGCCACTATCACCGCTCTCGACGTATGCCACCACGCGCCGTGAGCGCTTATCAACAAGCGAGCTCACGGCCGTGTTTGGGTATTGGGCTGATAACACATCGGTTTTCGCGTCCGGTACCCGCAAAGCTCAGGAGTCCGTTGCTCCCACTACTCGAATCTGCGGAACGGGGGGCCAAATCGGGCCTCACCGAGGCCGACCGGCAGCGTCGCACGAGGAGCAGGGTGGTAGGCCGCGCGCACAATTGGCCAAACAGCTGAAGAAAATTACGCCCTCACCTATTTGGGCCATATAGAAGGGGCCAGGGCGAGCGAGGTTCGCAGGAAAATCCGGCGGAAAGCAGGATACGCCCCGGTCAGGAGGACGGTACAGCGGAGCCGTTCTTCACAATTATAAGCGTAGATTAGTAATTCCTTCGCGGCTTAGCCTGTAATTAGCTTTGCGTTCGTCTCAACTTACATTAGTGTTAAGTGTTTCTTTGTACTTCGGAACTTAACCGAGTTTGTTTTCGTAATTGATTTGTTCGACCATTTAATAATAACATTTATACATTAAAGTATACCTTCACTCTGTCGATCGACTATCATTTCACTCTTCCTTAACCCAACCCGAACAAATGTTTTTTTTTTTTCTTTTTTCTGCGTACCGCAGAATGTGTCATAAAGTAACGATACCCTGTAACGGGATGCGTAAGGCTCTATCAGTCGGTAACGAACAGACATTACCCCCCGCAAGAGCAGGAGCCGCCGGACGGCTCCACTACCAAGTTATCTGTCTTAGCGTTGACACTTTCGAAACCTAATCCAGTGATTCGCTCCCGCGCTCGCGCAACAAGTGCTTCCCAGTCTACGATGAAGTTCTTCACCGACTCGTTACCCGGTCGATCTCTGCCAGCAGCAGCCCAATCCACCCCTTCGTCGCCGGATTATCGCGGTAGACGAGCACCGGCACCGAGCGTCCAGAAGTTGCGACTAGCGCATACGCGATTGTGGCTCTGCCGAGCGCCGTGAGTACCTCCCTTTTTGTACACCGTCGTCCGTCGTGTCCGCACCCTCGCCGAGGCACACGACGGGACTTGCGCCGAGAATGAGGAGTGAGTGTGTGCGCGCGTGAGATCGTTTGTAAGAGTAATCGAAGCTCTCCTCGTTCGTTTGTCCGCGCTAGCGTTTGCGGCTCGACCTCGGGATTTCCCCTTTGTTCTTCTTAGTGACAATATATGAGAAATTCGACCCGAGTTCCCTCGCGTTATTCTTTCGATTCCCGCTCCCTGAATGACATCTAGCGTGCAGCAGAGCGGATATAAAGTCGGAATCGGTAAATATTCCGACGTTATAACGGCCTCTGTCTCTCGAGATATAACAAAACAAGCCCATTATAACTGGCGCCCACGCGGTAGAATAATCGTGAAATTTCAGTTAAATCTCAGGTCGAGTCATCGCGTTTCAAACAGAGCCGCGAAACGTAAACAAGCGCGAAAGTAGGAGAAAATATAAAACATCTCTCCGGCAAAGCACGAACAGCGACGAGAGCGCCCGAGCACAATCGAGAGCGAAACAGAAGCTCAAGGTACGCGTGAAAAGACGC